AGATTTTGGGTTCTGTAACTTGTTTATGCTTTAACCTGCATAGCAAACAGCCAAGCATGTGGTTCTCAGATACAGAACATTTGCACTAAAGGTCACCTGGTGAAATTTGAGGGAAACCTAGGACGCAATACAGATCTGACTTCAAAGTCAGACATTGCCCAGGCTGAGAAGGGAAGTGTCTGAAAATCCTCCAGCTCTGGGTAATATGCTCCTTCCCCAGGTGTAAGACAAGTTCTTAGAGCTCTATGTGCCTGGGGCAAGACCCCATCCTCCCCCACCCTCTCCAATATTAACTGATATAAACCTCTCTCATTGCCTGCACACCATATCACTGCCAAAGGCTCTTTATCACCTGGTTCCCAATTCCCCTAGGGCTCAGCTGACATCATCCCCTGCTGTCTTCAGCTGCAAACACCATTTTACTTTACTCTCTGAATGAATGGTCCATTATTAGCAAAATCTCCTATGTTCTCAACCACTTTTCTAAATATTAACACTGCTTTCTTGCTTTAATAGAGAAACCCAGGTCTGCCAAGGGCTCATAGCTTCTCATGCAGTCATCTCAAGTGCTGGCAGTTTTCTCTGCCATACCTTCCTAACACTGGTCCTCAAGGTGCTGCTGACATCTTTCTTCTATTTATCTGCTGTTTGGGGGCCACCTATATTTTATCCCATCATCATTGTATATTTTATGACAATTTTTTTCTTGCAAAAAGTAGGATGTAACCATTATGTGAAATTTTTAAAAATTATGCCATTATTAAAAACCTTTATTACTAAATGCTCTTTGATGTAAGATTGGGATGCACAGCAGATCCATGAATGTGCATTACCATGGTCACAATTATGAAGTAAAATATAGCATTTTCTCTCCTTTATCCCTTAAAAATTCTCCACATTGATGCTCAGTCCATTGGACATCTCCATTTAGTGCTACTTGTGCAGCCCTATACAGACTACTAGATCCTTCCTTTTACTCCTTAAAGACCTAAGCCCGTCTCACCATCACTCTAACACTACTTGTTGAAATCTTAGGTGTTTTTGTAAATGTTCAGTTGTTACCCTTTCGTTTCCGTCAGAGATCCTTACTTGCATTTTAGTTCAGCCCCCTTCTCTTAGGACCATACTCCCAAAGTACTAGTTCTTAAAGTGTAACCCCCAGACCAACATGGCCAGCATCATCTGCCATCTGTTGTAAATAGGCCCCACCTCAGGCTACTGAGCCCCAAACTCTGAGACTGAGGCTCAGAATCCAAGGCAATTCTGATGAATATGCCAGCCCATGAGGTCTTATTGTCAGTACCAATCTCTTTCTGTGTGTCTCAATTTCAAGTATCCTCCCCAACCCTGCTGCTTTTCTTTGGTCTTCCTAGATCCCTGATCTACTCCCTCAGTTCTTGAAATCCTTCAACCCCACCAATACTACAATTTAAGGATTCCGCTGCTTTGTCACTAGGTCTTACTCATCTTATGTCCTCATTTTCCCCTTATCCAGCCACTATTTGACTACTTCTTGACACTTCTCGTTCAAATACCATATTGAAAGGGTCAACGAATCCAGTCAGCTCCAGGCTCTTTATTATTCTTGAAACTTCCACTGCACCCATTCCAGTCCAAGAGCAGTATCTGCCAACTGGAATGACACAACTCTTCTCACTTTGTGATACTTGGTTCTGTTGTGTCTAATTCCAGAGGGGTCCTTTGAACACTCAAGGCTATGTTGCTACATTGCTCAAAATTCACCATGCTTCTCCTCCTACCCAACAAAAAACCAAGTCCTTGGAAATGCCTCCAAATTCTGGGTGATCTGACCTTTCCCGGACAGAAAGTCCCTTTCATGTTTGCTTCCTCCTTTTCTTTCTTCATTTTTTGTCCTTAGAAATTATGACCACCTGACATGCTCTAAATTCTGATTTGTTTGTGTCTCTTGCTGTTACAATAGAAGCTTCATAAAGACAGAGGCTTTTCTGGTTCAACTGATTGGGCTCAGTTCCTGGGCTCCTGTGTGGTATACAGCAGGCATGTAGTTATTTGTGAATGGATAAATGAATGAATATAAGTAGGAGAAATAAAGTTTGTTTTTATGATAACAACAATTCTTACTAGGACTACTTTTGCTTGAGAAATGAAATAAAGTATTCTGACAAATTTCCCAGGTAAAACAAATGTCATTTGGATGTTTTATCTGACCCTTGGTGGTTGGGGTTTAGAGTAAGTTTCTCTTCCCTGTCATTTTAATAAAAGCAATTCTAGATTTACCTGTTTAGTTCCTCTTGCATATAGGATGACAATATTATCCTGACAACAATTTTTTTAACCTTGTACAGAATCATACATTGCATTTATTTATCAATGCAATGATAAACTCTCTTTAGTTTTTTTTTTTTTTAAAGAGAATAACAACTAATGACAAGGGACACAATTTAAGAATAACACATATGGGGCTGGGGATGTGGCTCAAGCGGTAGCACGCTAGCCTGGCATGCGTGCGGCCTAGGTTCAATCCTCAGCACCACATACAAAGAAAGATATTGTGTCCGCCGATAACTAACAAATAAATATTAAAAAATTCTCTCTCTCTGTCTCTCTCTCAAAAAAAGAATAATACATAAATATTTTGTCCCAGATGATCATCACAGGATGGTTTTAGCATCCATTACTTGCTTCCTGTCTCAATTGGTTATTACTCTAATGACTTAAAATAGTGATTTTTCACTTCCTTTACAATGTATTGCATATTATTAATTATTCTACAAAACAGCTTTTCCATTTTTGCCCTTTTTTGTTTGATGTGAGAGTTACTCGTGGAATTGGGTGTCAAGAAATTCAATGTCTGAAGTGGAATAAAGGGAAAGGAGGGAAAATGGGAATAGGAAAGGCAGTAAAATGAATTGGACATTACTTTCATGTGTTCATATGACCAGTGTAACTCCACATGATATAAGAAATAGTTCTTGGGAGCCAAGAACTGAGAGGACTGAACTCATTTGGTGATTAGGAGAGGCTTCAGTGAGGAAGTGGCATTTGGAACAAGCTCTGAAAGATTTTGATTAAAAATAGGAATGGGGTACAATTTGGAAAGGGAAACCATCTAAGGGAAGGCCTAGTAGACTTGGTATATGATGACAAATACAGTGGTCTGGACCATGACAAGGAAATTAAAATGAAACATAGAAACCCTTTAGATTAACTTAACTTCATGCATTTGCTCAGGCCAGTCTCACTGCCTAGAATTTCTACCTTTTCCCTTTTGCTGAGGAGTGGGATGAAAGGTAATGAAGGAAGGAATTCTAGGCTGTAGAAACTGCATGAGGCAAAGCCCCATTCAATACTCCTTTCTTCTGGAAACCTTTTCCAGATGCCTAATGAGAACTATGCATCTTGCTCTCACATAGGCCCACCTTACGCATGCCGTTCTGTTAGCAGTCAATACTGTCTTGAGCTGTTAGCAGTCAATACTGTCTTGAGCTGTTTGCATTTGTGGATATGTCTTCTTCCTCTGAAGCATGAACCAGGTCTTAATCACCTTCCTCATCTCCCCAGCATGAATGCTCAGTGTTTTTTTGAATATGCCTGAGACAGAAAGGAAAAGAGAAAGGTTGGGATTGGGGAAAAGAGGGCTCAAAAGACTGTTTTAAGGGTTTGGTGTGCTCTGCAGGCTGTGATGAGCTGTGGCAGCTTTTGCCCTGTGAGGCACTGATCAGAGCTGTGGTGCTGAAGGATGCAGCGAGGGGAGAATAGCCAGGGTGCCCGTGCTGTGACCCCTGAACTAGAGGATGGCAGTGAGAAAGTGCAGAAGGCATGAGAGCAAGTAGTTCCCTGTGAATCTGAGCATTCATTCAAATGCAAGAACTTGGAAAAGAAAGTGAGAGTGGTTTTGAGGTTTTCAGCCTAGGTGACTGGAAGCCTGACAGAGGCTTCCTATCACAGTAGAGGCCCTGGGCAGTTTGATGGAAATGTTTAAGAAGTTCAGCATAGCTCTGTCTAGTTTTTCCTCTCAAATGCTCCCTAAACTCAAAACAATATGTGCTGTCAAAAGATTTTTATTTTATCAAATATAACAAATAAAATATTATTCTACTTGAGGTAGGAAGCACTGATTTTGCATTTGTGATAGATATTTTTCCCTTCTCTTTATTAAAACCGGATGTTAATAACTGCTTTTGCAGCCTTGAATCATGGCCCTCTGAGAGCAGCTTACCATCAAAGAAACGGTTGTCAGCTTTCTTTTGGCTCCTGCCCCTTCCTAACAACAGAAAATTTGCTTTGCACCTGCTCCAACTGGGTTCTCAGTGATAAGCATCTTGCAAGCCCAGAAAATTGTAGTATCAAATCTCAGCCCCAACTGTGAGGCAGCACCATCAGCGACTCCCCACTGAGAGGCGTTGCTTTCCCAATTCCCTGGAGAAGATTTTTTTTCCTCCCTTGGCTGCTTTTTGGGCTTGAACTCTGACCTAAACCCCTCCTTTTAGCTACCAGTATGCAGTGCTATGGGTGCCAACCATGTCCCAACTCTGCTCACTCTGCTCTGCCTGGGGCCCATCAGTAGGTCAGACGTTGGTAGCCCTGGGGTCACCAGGGCTACCCAATTCCAATAATGAGCATATTATTCTAAGGAGAGGAGATGTACCCTTCTCTTTGTTATAGTTCATCACTTTTCTCTAGGAAAAAAAAATGCTAACATTTGATATCTGTGATTTGGTAAATGTACATAAACATTGCCTAATGTTCACAGAGTTGCATTTACTTATACCTTCCTTCATAGATTAAGTGCTTTGTGATATCTCATGATGTATTTCAAGAGAAATAAGCCTACTTTGTTATTAGGAAAACATAAGTGTTTGAAGATAGTCATATCCAGGAATACACTTATAAGCATTTTGAATAAAAATAGCAAATGCCATTTAAATATGTATATAACATTCTAATGGACTTTCACATTGTCATTTTAAATGGAAAGAAAAATTGTTGACAATCTAACTTTATCTTTTTTCCCTCAGGTTTTTCAAACAGGCCAAAGTCATTAAAAATACTCCTTAACCCCCAAAGTCACAAAAAAGAAGCTACCCAGGTCTATTATGAGAAGGTGGAACCTCTGCTAAAGCTTGCGGGGATAAAGACTGATGTCACAAGTGAGTCACTGTCATTGTGGAATTTTATCATTGAAAATCTCATTTATGAAAGCCAGATAATCTGAATTTGTTTTTAATCCAAACTTGCAGAGCTGTTTGTAATATCTAAAGCTTTTGAAGTTGTTCCTATAACTCTGGTCAGTTCCAGAAGTATAAGTGGTTATATTTCCTTATTTAATGAGCTATTTTTATTAAGATATCAATGTCTTCTCTTTAGAATGTTTCCAGTCTTCCAACAATTATTAGGATTGATTTTAAAGAAAACTGTATACTTTTCGTTGTCTTCAATGAGATGTTTACTATTTATACATGATTTCTGCAGTTTGGCAAGCAATTGATTTTTGCTCCCTTATAGAGCTGATGTCTTTCCATGGAATCTTTTGGTAGGTTGTTTTTGTTCTGACTCTGACCCCTGCTGGTTAGGTCAAAACTAAGCAAGTAGTTGCTGGTTTTAATCAGACTTGGAGAAACCAGAAGCTTAAATTCATTGTCTAAAATAAGAATGTTCCCTTAGCTTTTATACTAAGGGAAATAGAAATTTTCTAATGTTAAAATTAATAGAAAGGAGATTAGTAATACTCTTCGAGTTTTCATGTGTGATGACCAAATTCTTTTGTTTCCTTAAGACTCGAATCTTTCCTACTGCTGGGCGCTGAGAATAAGTGTTTGATACTATCAAGAATCACAATTTTTTCTAGCTTTATTTCTGTGTAGCTTCATTAACACAATGGAAATTTGCAATAATTATTTATTGATGAAGAATATTGCACAATAAACCTCCCAAGAAATAAGTCCAGAGCACAATTGGAGTCTCCTACTCCTAATTCTGAGTTCCTGGGCAAGGGATTCAGAATGACAGGGCTGTGCTCAGCTGTAACCAAGGGAGATGGGTTGCACGATGTAAATAAGGTCAGTGAAGCCCAGTGACTTGATGGATTGGGTAGAAGGAAGTTCCTGAAAAGGGGCAAGCTTTGGGGGAAGTTCAGTCACCCCAGAAAACATCTGCTTCAATGGAGGTTAAAGAGAAACTGTCATGAAAACCTGGAGTGGAAAATTTCTGAATTAAAGTTGTCATAAAAGTTAACCTTTTGTGTTTGTGATTTGGGGCTCACTTAGAAATGATATATGAGGAAAAGAGAAAATTCAGAGATCTATCCTTTTTACTGAAAAATTTTCAGGTATTAGACCAAAGAAAAATTTGAAGATTCCAACTGGAATGAGACTGTATTAAAAGTTGAGTAAACTCATTTAAAACTCAATAACATTATCTTGTATGTTTCTATGTGAACACTCAAGTACAATTTGACATGGATATCACATACAGTTCAAGAATCTCTCATTGAGGGTGCACGTCCACAGTCCAGATGCTCAGAAGTCTGAGGCAGGAGGATCACTTGAACCCAGGAGTTCAAGTTCAGCTTGGGCAACACAGACTCCATCTCAGAAAACAAAAAAATTGTCTCATTGAATGTTTGCTCTGTGTTAAACACTGCAAGATGTAAGAGAAATAAAGCTGTCATGTCCCTTCTTGAGTTACTCTTATAGGGATTCAAAAAGACAATTAAAACCAGATATTTTAATTGTGGTATATATAAGAGAACTATAGTATCTCAGGGTGATATTAATTTTGATCAGAGAACTCAAGAAAAGCAGGTTCACTAGACAGCTCTTGAGAGACAATGAGGCAAAAAGTGTAGAAAGGGAAGGCAGGGGAGAGAGAAAGCATGTTTTAGAAGTTTGTTCTACCTTCCTAGTTTTGATCTTAAATCTAGTTCTTTCCACCATCCAAAAATAACTGCCAGTGAATTGGATCTTTTCTTATCCATACCTCTCAGAATAGGGAGAATTAAGTGTATGTGAGAGAGGGAGACCCAAAATGCTTCAATCCTAAAGATGGATTAACATGTCTTTTCTTCAGGGTTGGTTGGACTAATATAGTATTTGCACCCAACCTGGAACACTCGTTCTTCTAACTATCAAGACTCTCGCAGGGACTAAGTGTAGACTTTTCCAAAAGACTGCTGATGACTAAAGGGAATTTGGGTTCTTCTGGGGAAACACAAGGCATGATGGCTCCTGGGAAGTCTCCCAACCATGAGGCTAGTCCAGACTGTGACTGGGTCAGGGTGCTACACATGGTGGTTTGTTCACGCATCCATCCACAGTTGGTGTCAAGTGTCTTTAATCACAGAGTTGTAATCGGGTTTGCCAATGATGACTCCACTAGCAGAATAAAGATCAGAAAGGAAAAGAGCTCTGGGAGAAAAGGAAACCAGTATGTGAAGTCTGAACCAAGGCAGAGGAAATAAAAGGAATGTGCTTCTTACCAGTTGTATTGGAGAGAATATACCATGTTCTGTTTTTTTTTTCTCCCTTAAAAATTTCAAAGTATTGCCAAACATTAAATTCAGTTCAACACAAAATTAGATTTTTTTTGCATAATGGAAATTTAGAATTTGTTTTTATATTCATATAGAATGTCTAATTATTAGCTGCCTAACACTCCTCCTACAGGCAAAATTATAAAATTGCATCCTTTGCTTTTTAAGCCATGTTAGCATGAATATTGGCTAAATATTTACATAAAAATTATTCCTATTTTGTTAGTCTTCCTACCTTAAAATGTTATTTGGTAGAACTACTTTATGTATTATAAAATGCTATAGAAATAATGGTTGCAAGATTATTAGTTTCATTTTCATAAAATTGTATAAGATTTAATTCACTTTATTTGAAAGAAAAACATACGAAAAGTAATGTAAAAGAATGCATATCTTCATGTTCATTGTTTTAACATATCCTTTGTGGGCACTGGTAAATCCAAATGGAATATGAATTAACATTAAAAAATTTTGTATGATAATTAATTCATAAGGAAATAGCACTATATAAATAGGTGGCATGGTTAGAAAAATTGCTGCTAGATATATACATTAAAAAGTCTTTTTTCCCATAAATTTTTTTTTGAAATGAATCTCATTGCATTAATAAAAATATACTTATTCCTTTTATTTTGACTTATGCTGAAACCCTAAATGCTTCTGAATATAGATGGACATCTTTTGAAATATTTGAGTGAAAATGATCCCCCCTCCCTGATACCCCATAGCCCCAGTGTAGTATCTTATCTAATAACAGCTGAGGTGTCATGAGCTATAGGAGAATTCACAGAACAATACAGTGCATAAGTCATGGCAGCAGAAAAAACCAAGAGTAAAGAAAACTATAGCGGCCACACAGCTCAGCTTCCCCATGTAGTGGAGTGCAGGTGTGTGGCACTCCTTGTGGATTATGACTTATAATAACTGTTTATTTATGATTTATAATAACTGATTATGATTTATAATAACTGTTACTGGACAGTTTTGTTTGATGTTGTTGTGTTCACATGTACTGTGCCTTTGAATGCAGTAGAAAAGCCATTCCTCTGAACTGACTTACTAAAAGGTACCTTTTTTGGGGGGGGCTAATTTAGCCCACATTCACCTGGCTTGTCCATTAGTAGCACTGTGTTGCAAGTTACCTGCCTCTGCAGCCATGTTCCCTTGTTGGAGGCATAAGCTGCGCACTGCACACCATGGGGAACTTGAGAGCTGACATCCCCCTCCTTCTGTCATCTACTAGAGTTCATGTTGTCTTTTGCAGCATAATTATATCCTACCTGCTGTATAAGTGTCATTGAAATATAAGACAGATATCTGTCTGCCCTTGATCTCTCTTGTTCTTGACAGGCGCATTCATCTTCTTCACTCTGTATTAACAGATGACAGAACTTATGGTGGTCAAGACATTTCTCTGAATGCACACATGACCTCTGCCAGCTCAGTGCCCAGGGGAGTGCCTGGCCCCAGATAATTTTACCTCTTGGAAAGAATTGTCCAGAAAGTGGCTAAGAGGTGTTCCCTTTTCTTCACCTCTCTTCCTTCCTACCCTCCTTTCTTTTTATCATTTTCTTCTTCTTCTTCTAGCATAATGCTTCTAACCTTTAACCCTTTCACTGAGACTCTTTGTGTTGTTTCTCTTGGGCTCTTAATGACTGTACTTGAATCCTTTCATTCCTTGGAGATACCTCTTGTCATTCCTGATCACACATAGCAGAATGCTAAGCAGTCTGAAGAAACCGAGTTAAAAAGGTGCTAGAGGCCTGGAAACTTACTTCTTTTCCTTTGACCAGCATTTTAATAAAAGTACACATAGTGGGTGTTCATGCATCATATCCAGCTAGAAAAAGAGAATTCTGAATGAAAGGTTGTTCTTTATCAACTTAAATTAACTGTGAGTGCATATGTCCAATCTTGTTTCTAACACTTGTGTGGGTTAGAAAGTTGGAAGTTTGAAATATGGAATATTTCAAGGATTTGAAAATTTGGAATGTAAAGAGTCATCAGTGACGTTTATGCCATGAGTGATTTAATTGAAATATGTTCAATGAGGCCATTCTGACTAGAGTGGGACAGAAGTTGGAGAGAAGAGGCTGTTGTAGTACACATGTGAACTGATAATGCCCAGACTGACGGCATCAGCTGTGAGGGAGAAAGGAGCATGGTTAATAGAGTGTTGGCCACGGAGTGGTTCCAGAGAGAGGAGGGATAACCAAGGAGGAATTGTTTCCTGCCTTGGGGGTGGATGACAGAACACAAAAAGAATGGTATACTTAAGGGGGACATGTTGAGTTCACTTCTTAAGTGAGTTTGAAATACCTGTAGGACAGGAAAGACATTGACATCTCAGTATCCAATTCCACAATAGAATTTTATCTCCAGAGCAAGAAATGTTTCCTGATGTCCATATCAGATCACATCTGATTTTATTTTCAAATTCAGTTTAAGCACTTGATGTCAACCTCAAGACACCACTCTCCTCTGTTTTCCTGTAGGAGTAATACCTACACTGAAGAGTACGGGTTCCAGTAGGGGACTGTGTTAAAAACCCAGTCAATTATGTAGACTCCAAATCCACATGTAAAAAGAGCCCAGAGTGCCAATAGGAAAGGGGAAGGATCTGAAAAAAAAAAAAAGAGAGATTAGATTATGTTCATTTTTGAAATTCATTTTCCTAGCCATCTACTCTTTATATTTATTTGGAGTGGGATGATTTGAATTCAGATCTCTGATTCAACAGTCCATAATAGCCTGTCTAAACATAGATTTTGGTCCTTTTAACTTCAAATAGTAGTCCAAATCATGCATTATTCTTCTGCACTACATTTATTTTCTTTATAATCACTTATTTCTACTCCATATATTTGTTTTATAACTAGTGTATACTGTTTATCTCCAGAGTGTAAACTCCCTGAGGCCAAAGACTCTTCATTTTGTACCTTCTACTAATATATTTTCTTGTAGTCAGCTTTTGTTGATTTTTAAAAAATTAGTCCAGATAAATGATTTTATTTAACTTATGCAATATCTCTTAAAACTTATTTTTAAAGAGGTTGCATGGTATATAGTCAGCTATCACCTGTAAAATCAAAGGAAATTATTTAAAATGTTCCCAAACAAAAAATGACATACAACTATAACATAATTTTAGGCTAATTTTGTATTGGATTTGAATAGTGTTACCAAAAGTAAACTTGATAAACCGATTCATCACCAGACCAAGAACGACTTGATAAACTGATTTTCAATATAAATATTTCTTCATAATATCCTTAATTATTTTTAATGTGTCTATGTCAGACATTATTTCCCATTGTTAGGTTTCAACTACTTACTGTGGTTATAAATGAATTATCAGCACACGTCTTTTATGATAACTTAACCTTCCAACTTTATTAATATTAATATTTTATATTTAGCTTTATTATAGTTTTCTTCTGATTAGAATTTAATATAGAGAGGTTTTATTCATGTGAATGTTAGCAGCATTTTGAATAAGCTGTGGGAGAATTATAATGTAACACTGCTGGATACAGAATGATTCTCTTAGACACCAAGACTAATAATTTTTAACAATATCTAAAATCATCGCAGGAGAAGCTTGAACCATGCTGGCACCAGGGACAGACAGGCATGAAAGATTAATGTAATCTTGCATATAATGATGCACATTCTTACACAAAAAATCCATCTGCAATGTCATGTCAGTCAGCAGAAATCTTTGATGGGTGGATACAGCTGGGCTGTCTCTTCTGGCAGAGCTCCCCTAGAAAATGCTAAATGTGGTTGTGATGCTTGGTGCCATCTGCAGTGTGCCCGTTTATCCTGTCTTCACTGGCATTTACAATACTGCACAGGGCATCAGTGACTGTGGAGACAGCGATACGGTGTGACAGACTCATTTCCTTGGAGGATCGGGGCTCTGGTGGGCCTGTGTGCCACCCTCCTCCTGGACTGGGTCTCTTATCACTGGTGTTGGCTTGACTTCATATTTTCACATCCAACTCCTCCTTTTTTCAGTCTAGCAGTTCCAGATACACATTCTTCTGGTATGTAAATCTTACACTAACCTTTCAACTAATTTATTCATGTAAGGTTGCCAAAGTGATTTTACATTGACTGTTCAGTGCCAGCTAATATGCTGTATTTTCAAAATACTCCTGCTCGTAAGCTTCTGATTTAAAGGAAATGTGTCTTATTTGGGGAACACTAAACAGACAGGCACCAAGAAAAATTCTGTAACTACTCTGTGTTGGATATCACCAAATGACTTATGTAGTTGGAACAAATATGTGACCCTCTTTTGCATAAAGCTATAAAATACACCAGGCAACTAACATGTAAGCCTCTTTTCTATGATTAAAATATAAATATTCAAGAATAAGTGTTGTTTTACGAGCCAACCATATGTTAATCATATTATTTTGCCAAACCAAGTTAAAAAAAGTGCAGAACATTATTTAAAGCTTTTATTTTGTGTGTGTGTGTTTTTTTAATAGTAACGGAATATAAAGGACATGCTCTGTCCCTGCTTAAGGAATGTGAACTCCAGGGATTTGATGGGTATGTTATATTAATAATTTTAATATATATATCATATAGCTTATGTTATTCCATGCTTTTTTTAGGTTTTAGCTGCATATTTGGGAGCTATAATTTTTAAACATTTCTGATATGTATGTATATATAATATATATTCCATGTCACTATTCTATTTTAATCTATTTTACTCATATCTACATAAAAATTTATGGTGATATGTCATGGTCATTCCACCTCTCAGGATCTAGCATAGAAAAGCAAAAAGAAATCTCATTTTAAATTTGAAAAAATCACAGTGTACTGCCCTATACTTATTTAATGTGCATACATTTGCATGTATAATACTTGATTCCGTGCTTTTACCATGTGAGTATCTAGAAAAACATTGAAAGATGATATCATACTGGTTATATGTTATTAGTGCTATGGCTCTCTCCTGTAAATGTATTAATAGTTTTAATATCTACCTAGTAATTTATTTTGCTACGACTGATTGAGGTAAATATTTTGTGAAAACAAATAAATTATTTCCAGAATGATGTATTTTCAAGTTTCTAATGCATTGCAGGAGTATGCAGGGTTTCTCATTGGTATGTCAACTTTAGAAATATTAGAACATTGGAACAAGGCAAACAACACACACTTAATAGCCCTTTTTAAAAATCAGGTAAATTGATTTGCAAAAGTGCTAGATTGATGAATAAGACTAAAACATATTACTTCAGGGGAGAATTATTTATTTTTTTACAGGAGGGGCTATCTGAGAGTTTAAAAGGGTGGTGAATGACTTAACTGTGTCACATTGTGATGAGCAGGGGTTGACAAAGGATCCATAAGGTCAGGAAAGGCAGTTGAGACTCCGTTTTTATGAATGTGAAAGACTAATCTTCCTAAAGAAATGTTCGTATTTGTAGAGGGAAGAGAGTGCTCAAAATGAAGCATTGGCAGTATTGTTTTCAGAAATGCTTAATATAGTTTTATGAGAAAATAAGTAGCTGATGAAGAAGAAAGTTTGGTAAGTAAAATATGATTTAGCACAAAGACAATAGAGAAGACTAAATCTAGATGGCAATATCACATAAGATCAAGAGTATGAGATAGGCAGTTACTTTAGAACTTTGTACTTAGAAGCAAACAGAAGGAGCAATAAGCTACATTTAGGAAATTATCTTAAAAGCTATTTAAGCTAATTATCTTTAAACTATTTCTTAAAACAGTTTAAAGGAAAGTAATTGGGAGAATCATGCCCACCATCTCCCTCAATATGCTACATAGTCCTGAGCCAGGAATACATGAGGGTAGCTGCATTACAAAAAGAGTCTTTACTTTAAAACTTGAATATGTGAATGATAAGAGTAACAGGTATCATAGATACTAACCCTGGGGTTGCCCACCAGTGATATGGAATATTCTGTCCAATGTGGTATCTATAAATATGTTCTATTGGTATGGCAAGGATTAAGAAGAACTTTGCTGAATCTGAAGAAATTGCTCAAATGTGGTTTAGGAATATTTTCCTCTTTACCTGAACATATTTAATTCTTTATTTCCCATGCAGTTTTGAATTGTGGTGCTAAGAGATACTTAGATCCTTAGTTATTACTTGTATATTCTTCAGCCAAGGATGTTTGACCTGACCAATAAATGAGTTTGGTGATTTAACTATTTCCAAACCCTATAATATGCAAATGCACTTTGGAATTATAATTTTTTACTGGAAATCTATGTTCCTAAATGCTTCAAATAATTCATTTGTTTTCATGGGTTTAGTTTTTCCAGTAGGAGCTGGTGAGCGGGATAATTACCTTAACAAAATGGTAATTTTTAAGTCCCCATACTTAGAAATATGTAGAGAGGTATATGGGGAGAAGAATAAAAACATAATTTCATTCACTATGCACTTCAAAAGGATTATTCTCTAGCAAGTAGAATTTTCTGAAATTGAGCGTTCTGCATTGATGAGTTCCCTGTCCTTGATTGTGTTCTAAGAGTGGTCATAAAAGCACTTTCAAAAAATTTAGTTTAAGGATAGGATAAGGTAACCCATGATGCTATTTCATTTTGATAGGAGATCAGCTCACATTATCTTAAGAAATTTGCCCTGAAGCATCTCTTCCTTATTCTAGTGGAGCTATTGATAGGAAGTGATTAGGAAGTCAATAAATGGCTTCTAGACAGGCTAGAGAGAGCCAAGAAAAATTCAATGGATATTATTCTCAAAGAAAAATGATTTAATGAATAATGTTTAAGAAATGGTATTTCCCAAGGTTTTAGGGTACTTTTAATGAGTTATATTTATTTCTATAAAATTGTGACATGTTTCTAAAGCCCACAGAAACAGCACATCAGCATGCGTGACAGCTAGTGCCCACTCTGGTGTTCTAGCAAACTTAGATCCACTGCTAAAACTTGGAGGAACTTCATATTCCATATTGCCTGTTTATGTTGGTCATGAAGAGGAAGTAATATCAACTGCACATACTTGGAGCACTAATAGTTACATTTACAAATGTGAATATACTTAAACCAATCTGTAGATTTTACAACCATGGAAAAGTATAAATTTACTAAGTATTTACTATTTGTTTCAGTGTATTGAGTTTGTTGAATTAGTTTTTTCTTTGTTTCCTTCTACTATTAACTAGACCCACATAATCTAGATTTTATTTGCCTAATGTTTACATTTTATCAGATCGACCATGATATCTGTACTACTTAAGAAGAAATAAATCTTTCAGAAAAATGAAAAACATTGAATCAAAACCAATACTATACTCAACATTTCAAAGATGTCAGTTGATAGATCAATTTATAAACTGCTATTTACATTTTTTCCTTGTCACCATTTCAAAAGAGAAATAAAATATTAACCCTTCAATTTTACTTTTCTAGACTAAATCATTCCACATGGAGCCATGGCAATAAGGAGTTTACTTACTCTAAAAATGAGAAGATATTCCATATGGAAAGGAATAATTACTATAGGGTTTATATTTTAGAGTAACTTTTAAGTGTGGTTAAATTAAATTTATATAGAAATTTGAATATTTTTTTCTCTTAGGGTATGCAACTTCTTGTGATGTTTTTGTATTAAGCCTTAATTAAGTCTATCCCTTAGATTGAAGAACTATACCCGAACATAACCTTAATGATCTAGTAGTAGTTGACATAAATAAATATATATCTTCCTGAGTCATTCTATTTTGGTCTGGTTTTATGGGTTTTCAAACTAATTTTCAAAGTAACAAAAATTCTCCTGAGGCTACTTTCATTGTTTTTTCTTTGTAGAAAAGAATATAGTAAATAATATAGTGCTGTCTTTAAGGGCAAATTTTCTTGTTTCAAATCCCTTTTCTACCACTTACTAGTGATATGACCATGGAAAAAGTACTTAATCTTTCTATGCTTAGTTTCCTAATCTGTAATTGGAGGCCATAGCATTTTTTGTATACATCTATGGCTCAAGTTAAATGAGGTAACACAAGGAAAGTGCTGAGAACAGTTCCTGATTTTATATAGTGATGATTCACTATTAGTTTCAAAATATTTAACAGTGCATGTTATGACAAAATTTCAAAGATTTTTGTAGCAGAGCATACTATGGAAAGGCCATCTCTACTAACTCCAGTAATGAGTTAACAGATGCCCAATGGTATAACTGTATGCAAGATTCCAGGAGTTGAGTATTGCCATCCTGTGTACGTAGGAGTCAAGTTCTTTAGTGCAAAATTAAATGCTTTTTGGATGACTTTATGTGGTCCTTTTAGATCACACATAAATATCAGCATGTATACTGGTATGGATCATATGGACTATACTAAATTCATAGAATGTTTGGAAATCTAATGGAGATTTTTTAAATCAATGGGAAATATTCAAACCACACATTGGTTTCTTCATTTATAAAGATGGAGTCAATGGCTAGTGCACAGAATTATGAGGATTTAATAGTAAAGGATAAGCATATCTGACATATAGTTTGTCCCTAGTAGATAATTATTTTAGTCAGCTTTTTTTTGTTGCTGTGAACATAAGTCCCCAAAAGAACAATTTTAGAGGAGGAAAAGTTTATTGGGTGCCCACAGTTTCAGAGGTCTCAGTCCAAGATTGATCAACTCTATTTTTCTGGGCCCAAGATGAAGCAGAATATCATGGTGGAAGAGTGAGGAGGAGGAAAGCAGCTCAGGATATGGCAACAATGACAAGCAGAGTGCTCAGTTCATCAAGGATAAAATATATATCCCAAAGGCATGACTTCCATAAACTACCTCCTCCAGCCACACCCTACCTGCCTTGAGTTACCACCCAGTTAATTCCTATCAGGGTATTAATCTACTGATTTCATTATAACTCACTTTATCTAATTGTTTCACGTTTGAACTTTCTTTCATTGTCTGTCACAGGAGCTTTTGGGAGTCATCTCACATCTAAGTCATAACAGATAGTATCCTGTTTCTCTGAATCAGTCAACACATTGTAAAAACCTGGAATTCATTCAAACATAAAACAGTAAGGACAATGCCATGAAGGAAAAAAAAAAAGAAAGAAAGAAAGAAAAGCTGAATCTCTCTTATAACCACAGTGGACCTGGATTGCCTAGCCCTTGTGGGTGTTGACCTCCTAATGAGGAGAGGAGACTGGAAGGTGGAGGGAAATGATGCTCTCAGTATCTTTAAGAACCTCTCTCTGATTATACCCAATAGGCTATTTTGTTTGGCACTTGGTTTTTAAAAATGTAACAAAGGCTAGTTGCTGGTATTTATAAATTAGGATATTTACTAATTTAAATTCTGATTTACTAAATCAGAATCTTTGGTTTCACTAGAAAAATCCTATCTGCTTTTGCTAGGCCTCCCACATGATATGAATGGACTGTAGTAGAAAAGCTGCCACCTCTTCAGAATGATCATGCTTTCCCATTCTGGCTGGCCCTTGAAGGCCTTAAGTTGTGTCACCTACTTTCCATAATGAGAAATCTTCCTCCTTTTGGGTAAATTGATGATATTTTGATAGTGAAGATTATTTTGCATCTTTTAAATAAAAGTACTATGAAAAAAAATCAGATATCAGTTTTGTGTATCTTTCTCTCCCAAAATATACTTACTATAAGACCTCCAAAAAAAATTTTAAAAAAATCAGCAGTACTATCTACAATCAAAGGGTAGTGACATACATTTAGAAGTGTCATATAGGAAGAATGTGAATGAAAACCAGGTCAGGTTTGCAATTAGTATATTCATGTACTAGTGATAATTAGCAGTTCCTTCAATGAAAGCTTCATATTTTACATGATTTTTTTATTGCTGTCATTTCAGAGTTTTATTGAGAATTAGCTGAATTTTATGACTTTGTTGGTGTGAAATGAATTGTAGGTGACAGTATTATTAACAAACAGAATGATAATTATATGCTTTTGAAAGATGTGAATTAACATGTTCAAAAGTTTTAATGCCTCAATGCACATAAAAATATTTTGTCTGTGGGGACTATCTAGGTTTTCCACTTAGAGTAACTTTACCTTTTCAGTGCTTGCATCTTCTTAGCCATTTATTATACTACAAATTGAAGGTGAGTATGAGTCTTGCATATGACTATGTAAGATTAGTAAAATATTCAGAAGTCTAGATTTTGTGAGTAATTACCAATTATTTTGAAATTCTTGCTTTTGCTTAATTTCTTTTTTCTAGTGTTGTATGTGTTGGTGGAGATGGATCTGCTAGTGAAGTAGCCCATGCTTTGCTTCTCAGAGCCCAGAAGAGTGCTGGGATAGAAACAGACCAAATCCTAACTCCAGTCAGAGCACAGCTTCCACTCGGCTTAATACCAGCAGGCAAGGAGTGGCCATGTATATGCTAAATTGACTCTCCTCCATCATTCCCTTTCCTACTTCCTAACCTAGTCAATATGACACAAGATAAATGTATAAACTTTGAGTCTGAAAGACCCAAGCTTAACTTCTGGCATCTCCACTAGCAAATGTGAGTCTTTGAACAATGCAATCTCTTTGAGCCTAGTTTTTTTTTTTTTATCTATAAAGTGGGGATAATTCATAATATTTACTTCATTACAGATTTGTTGTAGTACTAAATAAGATGGCATATACTATGGGTTAAGAACATAGTTTAAACAATCAATAGATGAAATTAATATTATTCTGCCTTCCATACACAGGTCTAATGGTTACGTAGTACTAGATAGGAAGTTTCAAAATGGGGCTCCCATCAGTCAAAATGTTTTTAATTTCATACAAGGTAAAATGTGAAACTGAACTATAATTGAACTATAATCAGAAAACCGTGAATATCCAAAGATTCCTTCCAACTAGAAGGAGGATCCAAGCCCTAGAGGGTGAGCTCCATCAAGGCCAGACTGGTTATCTTTCCATCCACTACCATATTTCCAATGCCTGGAAGAGAATATAACACAGTGCAGGATAGTTTCTCAAGTGAATGAATATAAAGATGACTTTCTAGAGCAAATAGCAATTGAATCAGGCCTTAAAGTGGGTAGGCTTTCTGGCCTTAAAATATCACAGTAAGCTATTTATTTTTTTAGCTAAAAAAATAATAACTGCAAAACCCAGAAGTGTTTATGAAATGGAAAACTGGCCATTGGATGAGAGATAATAGTGTCAAAATGGGCCAGACTGAAGCCACAGGGTCTAAATTGTATTTAAGCAGTAGGGGACTGGGGATGTGGCTCAAGTGGTAGCACGCTCGCCTGGCATGCGTGCGGCCCCAGGTTCGATTCTCAGTACCACATACAAACAAAGATGTTGTGTCCGCTGAAAACTAAAAAAATAAATAAGTAAATATTTTTAAAAATTATTAAAAAAAAAAAAAAAGAAGCAGTAGGGAACAACGGATTGCTCCAGATCAAGGGAGCAAGCTGATGGAGTTTGTTCTAGGAGAATCCATTTTGTAGCAAGACGTGGAATCATTACTGGAAGTGGGCACGAAGAGGTGGAAGCCAGGGAGAACTGCTAGAGCCAAACCCTGGTCCAGAAAAGAAAACAAGCTTCACCCTAAATTATTATTTAAATAAACAACAATGAAGGAAATTGATTTTTTTTCATTCTTAAAACATCATGCCCTGTTTTTAAAAGGAGGAAAAATATTTTCCTTCTGAAAATAATGCACATGGTTAGAAGAAAATTTATTCCATTCGATAGCCATGATTTTTAGAATATTTAATATTGCTGCTAAATTGACCAAGGACCTAAGATAGCCAAATGTCTTTTGAGAGTATAAAATCATAAAAACAAGAATGTAAAAATGGAAATTATTAGGATAAATTATAATTGTAAGTTATATGTAGAAAAATCTATAATGGTCCATAAGTAGAAGATAACAAATAACCTCAATTCAAAGGAGGAAAAAGATGAATTATTTGGGGATTTTTTTTATGTCTTTTGTTGTTGTTGTTATCATTTTTGTAGTTCTGAATGCAGTTAGTGTAACCCTTCCAACATGTACCTCCATGCAAAATGGATGTGTTTAGTAAGTCACTGTTTTTCTTCATTAGAGCCTAAATTCCTGAGGTCATGAGCTGCCATGCATCAAAACTGGAAAAGGGTGTCCCAAGAAGTATGCTTTTGGCATAAAGTGGGCACTTAGCTATGCTAGCTATGCTTATGTTTTTAATATGCAACTATGATTTAATAAAGAAATAGCATTACATTTTTATAATTTTAAAGCAAAATTCTAATTTCAAAAATAACTTGTATTCAGTGGGTATCTGTGGAAACACCATTGTAATGCTTTTTGTTTAAGAGATGACAGCATGCTGCCAAAATTCTGGTTGTTGGATAGGAGTTCCAGCTTACTAATTCCATCTAATAGGAGGAGAAAGTCATGTGTGGGCTGTATTTAATATGAGGATGCTATGCCTAGTCAGGGCTTTTGATAGAGAATGGAAACAAGAGCTAGGCAGGAAGTTTCCAAGCTGAACATGAGGAGACAGTCTGCCTTTGAAGCCATTTGCCTCCTGGAGAGAGACACCCAGAGGGAGAGTGTTTAGTAAATTACTCCACTGAGCCAACAGACTAAGCCGCTGAATTATGGTCAGACTCAAATGGATCAGATGTGGGGAAGCCTGTATTTGAACTGCTGGCCATTAGGAATGGTGTTTGTTGCTATGGGAACTGGTGCTAAGGAACTATACAGAGAGATTCCGATTAAAACTGGGGAGGGGGGGTAGATAGGGGAAAAAGCCTGAGAGGACATAAAAATAAAAAAGCAATCCAGTTGTTGTAAAACAAGGCTCAATCCACATACTGATGGCTGTGAACTATATATTCCTATAGAGTTTGCATAAATAAATTCATGCTTTCCAATTAATTTGAGGAGAATAAAATATTGCCGAGGGACTGTTAATTTCTATGATATTTCAGGCAAAGAACCAAAGTGTAGGTGCTGTTTTCATGAGAATTTTAGATATGCTTGACTAGGAAGTCATTACATCACATTTATCTGTTTGGATGTGGGAGACATTAACAGCCTTATGAATATTCATGATGTCTGGTTAATTAAGTTAATTGTTCTGCAGAAGTGCTTGCACTTCCAAGGACAGTTTTTTTTTTCTCTTTTCTTTTCCTCTTCTTTTTTTTTTTTTTCAAACCTCTGTAGTGTCTGCCTGGTAAACATCTATCTTGCTTTACATGAACTGCTACTTCTGTCCTTACACTTTGTATTTGGCACATTTTAGCAGGTCTGGGGAGGGGGAGGGTGGGCAAAGTTGCTGGTAGTGTTAAGAAAAATAACTTTTTAGGCTAATTAAAATGTTTACCTTGAGGTAGAACATTTATAGCTTTTGTGAGAATGTTAAAATTACACCGTTGTTATTTATGTGAGCAGCATGTTCTTTTGGCATGTAGACATCTTTTCAAATAGAGTACAATTTTCTGAAACAAAATGTGATCTTTCATATTTTTCAAACAAAAATCTAAAAGCCTCTATAATTTTGGAGTTTTACATGTACTTTCTCATGAACTTTTCTTTTTTCTTCAGAATGTTAAAAAAACACCCCATTCAATGAGTAGGTGACCTAAATAATGTTCTGGTTTCTGGTCATGCCTAGTATCTGCTAAATTCTACAGAATTAGGAAGAAGTTGCAATGTTGCAAAGTCTAAGAGGACACAAAAATAAAATCCCTCTCTAGCATTCTGAAAGGATTTGTGCTTGGGCAAACTCAGCATTCTTCAAACTCACAGGGAATAAATAGTATTTTATTGAGTCATGATATGTGTCATTCTCTATTGCACATGACAACATTTCACTGTTTTTAAATGGCCTTTCTAGAGGGATGCTTTTATGGTTTACTCCTAATTAACCATGGCAATGGAGGAAATGTATTAAGTGGAGTACTATAATCCATCGATAATCCTAAATATTTCTAATTACATGGCTTCCTCCAAATTCTTTACCATACATCTGATTGGGAAGAAAAGATTGATTAGTTTCTTCTTTATTTTTCTTTTTCATTCAAGATGAATTAGCAATTAGATGACCAAAAGGCAAGCTGTAAAAGGTCAAAAGTCATTGGAAAGGCCTACATTAAAATCCATAGAGTAACGGGTTTCTAACCACTTGTTCTCAAACCTGGAGCATGTATAAGTCACTTGAAGAGTGCAGGCACACATGAACACCCATGCTACATGCCTTGGAGATGAAACAGGAATTTTCATTTTTAAAAAGCTCCCAGGTAATCTTAATACTGCACATAGACCACACGTTCTATCCATACCTCAAGACACTATGCACACAAATCACCTGAGGATCTTAAAATCTTCAGTCTCCGATTCAGTATGCCTGGAGTGGGGACCAAGGGTGAATATTTTTTTAAAATTAATTTGTTTCCAGTAATAACTATCTCAAACTACTTATCTTCATCTACTTTTAAATTGACATAAAATTGTATACATTTAACAAGTACAACATGATATTTTGAAATGTGTATACATAGTAGAATGGCTAAATTGAGACAATTAACATGTGCATTACCTCACATACTTATTTTGGGAAAACACTTTAACTCTACACCCAGCAATTTTCCAGTATGTAACACATTCTTAACTATAGTCACCATTTTGTACAATAGATCTCTTGCACTTAATCTTCCTAACTTAAATTTTTCCTCATCCGACAAATATGTCTTTGAGCTTCCCTTCCTCCAGGCCTTGGTACTGTGAACTCTGTGCTTCTGTGAGTTCTTTATTTATTATTTTTCTTTATTTCTTTTTGTTTCAAGATCCCACATATAAGTGAGATCAGGCAGCATTTGTCTCTCTGTGGCTCTTATTTCACTAGAACATCATCTTCCAAGTTTAACTATGTTGTCACAAAATATGCAATTTCCTTCTTTTTTTAAAATTATTTTTTATTAAATTATTTATTCTAATTTGTTATTACATGATGGCAGAATGCAATTCATTTCATATTACACATATAGAGTACAATTCTTCAAGTCACTAGTTGTATACAAAGTATACAACTTAGCATTATGTTCACTTAGCATTATGTTCTCCCATGCCATCCATTTACCTGCAAATGCCATGATTTTATTCTCTTTTAATGCTGAGTAATATTTTATTGTATATATATCAATGTTTCCTTATTCATTCATCTACTGAAGGGTATCTGGGTTGGTTTCACAATTTAGCTACTGTTAATTGTGCTGCTTGTAAACATTGAAATGGCTGTGTCCCTGTAGTATGTTGTTTTTAAGTCCTTTGTGTAAACCAAGGAGTGTGAACCGAGGAGTGAGATAGCTGGGTCAAATGGTAGTTCTATTCCAAGTTTTCCAAGGAATCTCCATACTGCTTTCAAGAT